CATAGTGTTCTAAACAATTCCTCTAATTACTGTTGAGTTTTAATAATACACATGTAAACTTCAAATCAGTGCACATTAGCTTCTTAGCATTTAATGAACATTGTAGTCATGAACATAGAAGTTAATTTGAAAAAACCCCAGTTACACAGTTGGACCCAGGACACATGTGGACTCAGCTCTCCATATTCATTTTGGAAATTCATAATGGCCCAGAGTGGTTCAAATTCATATCAGGTATGGTTCCTGTCTCCATTCCCTTTGGTACTACATATTCCTTGGAGCAGCCTATTCCTGGGTGTAAGCCATTGATTCATAAATCAACAATGATCGTAAAGATGAAGAGATAAAACTTGAGTCAATTTTTGTCATTCTGTGTGACCATTTGGAGTTGCTTTTGTGTGCTTAAATTTAAAAGAGTAAAACAGTGATACACCCCACTCGCTCAGTCAGAAGAGCATGTGACTCTTTTTAAAACTTTTTTTTAACATTTTATTTATTCATGAGAGACACAGAGAGAGGCAGAGACCTAGGCAGAGAGAGAAGTAGGTTCCATGCAGGGAGCCTGATGTGGGGCTTGATCCCAGGACCCCGGGATCACGACCTGAGCCCAAGGCAGACACCCAACCACTGAACCACCCAGGCATCCAGAGCATGTGACTCTTAATCTCAGGGTTGTGAGTTTGAGCCCCATGTGGGGTGCAGAGATTACTTAAAAATAAATAAATAAACTTAGAAAATAAGTAAAAATAAAAGAGTGAAACAGAATGTGAATGGCAAGATGTAATATTTTTGCTTGGGACCTTTTGTTTGGTTATTTCACACATGAAATATTTATTGTATTTGAGTAATAAAACCCTTAAAATTGAAGTTTATTCTTCTATTTTAATCATTAATTATTTTAAAATTGAAAAAGGAATTAAGCAAATAAAACATTAAATTAGCAGTTGCCTAGACTGTACCTACAGCAGATATTTCCGTGTTATAAAAATTCATGTATTAGTTACTGGACAACTATTTACATAGAATGTTATTATACCAGACTGTAACACAAAACCAAAGTATCAACTGTTAGGTAAATATAAAACTACTGAATAAATAGTTGTGTTGTTTCATCCTGCAGGAACTTGGAGGAATTTGGTGGATGTTCACAAGACTGTGAAACCAGCAACTTGTTTATAATTGTTCTAAATTTCATAACAAAATCTGAAGTGAGATCTCCATACCAACATGAAATAACACTGGCTGGTGGAGCCTAACCAAGAAAAAATTTAAAGCAAAACAAAAGGTGATTAAAGCAATGGCTCAATTTGTTTTGAAATCTGTAATGCCTTCAACACTACACATACAGTCCATGACTACAGACTCTGAAGAATGCAAGCGGGCATATCCAAAGCACCTGATTCAGAGGACATGGCCCTGAGAGTTGACAAGGAATTATTTTGGAGAAGTACCGGCAATGGGGAAGAGAAGGGAAATTTTAGCAAAAGTCAACATCCATCAGGTTTAAGAAAACATTGACAAAAAAGATGGGAGGCTAGAGACACTAGTAAAAAGCAAGACCAGGACTTTGGCCTTAAGGGGGGAGAGGGGGTGGTGGTTAAAAAGATCTCAGCTTCCTCAGCTACGGTCCCATTGTTCCTATTTACAGCAAAGCTCCTCAAAAAAAGCCATCTACTCACCGTCTCCACTCTGACTTGAGTTGTCTGTCAACTCGGATGATTTCCATGTTACTAAATTCAATGGCCAATTCTTGGTCCTCAGCAGCATTTGGGGCAGCTGATGACAGTCTAGCTAGCGCCTCTTCCCCCACCTCCTTTACTGGATCATCCCCATTTTCCTGACCTCTAAATGTTAGAGTCTACAAGCCAAGTGTTCAGACTGCTTCTACTCTTTCTGTCCACTCCTCGGTGGTCTCATCCAGTCTCACAGCGTTAAGTATTAGCGTCTCTAAACGTCCCATTTCTGGCCCGACTCTCTTTCCTAGTATATCCACTTGGATGTCTGATAGGCATTGCAAAGTCAACACACTCAAAACTGTTTATTTTCTGATCTTTCTCCCCAGACTTACTCTGTTAACATTCTTCCTCTTCTCCATAAAAGACAGCTCCCTTTTTCAGTTGCTCAGGCCAAAAGTCTGGGAGTCAGTTTTGTTTGCTTCTCCCCACCTCCCGCCCCCTTCCCACACAGGGAGGCCAATCCAGTCCGTCAGCACACACTACTGGCTCTGTATTTCAGACGTGTCCAACCATATTTCACCCCCCATCACCACTCCCAGTCACCATCACCGCTCACCTGGGGTACGGCAATAGCCTCCCAACCATGCGCTGCTTCTGTCACTACCCCCATCTACGCCCCTAGAATCATCTTAACATGGAACTCAGTTCCTGTCATTCATCTGCAGAAACCTTCTAGTGGCTCCAGTCTCACTCAGAATAAAACCCAAGTCCTTCCCAAAGACTACAGAGCCCTGCATGATCTGCTTCCCTCACCCACCCACAACCTCTCTAATCTCCCCCCCCATCCATCCTCCTGTCCATCTGCTCCCGCCACCTAGCAGCCATCTGCCCTCCTTGGTGTCCCTCTGACAGGTTAAGCACACTCAGATTTCAGCGCCTCTGCCCTAGCATTTTCCTCTGCTGGACACACCCTCCTCTGGGAGATCTGGGTGACTTGCTTCCTCACTTCTTTCTGATCTCTATTAGAAATGTCATCTCATCAGAGAGGACTTCCTTGGCCAACCTATCCAAAATAGGTTTCAATTTTCTGCCACTCTGTTGCTTCCCCCTCACCTCCCTGCACTGCAATGATTGCAACACAGTATCTGTTTATGGTCCAATTTCCCCCACTATTAAATACCCTCTACAAGAACAGGAATTTACTGTTTTGTGATTGCTTATCCCCAGTGCCTAGAAAAATGCAAGCACATATATTAACCACACAAGAAACATTAGAGTCAACAAGACAATGAATTGGAACAGTGGTCACATAGCATTCTACAGTGATTCAAAGTGACCTCTTGAGGCAGCCAATGTCAAACAAGCCTCCTGTCCTTCAGAGTATGGAAGGCACCTTTGGGAACACCAGAGGCATTTAGCCACATCCACACACTTACTCATGCTGTAAGGTTTTTGGAAATATATTGTTTTAACAGGCTTTATAAGAGAAGGACAACCATCCACCCAGAAAGATTTCTGAAAGGCAGAGCCCATCTTGAAAAGACAATGCTCATTGCTGGTTTCTGAGGACTGCACAGGGTGAAGGCCTGTCCCTGAGTCAAGGCGGTAGGGAATATTCTCCTGAAAGCATGTATTTGCTTACCTAAGAACCTAAGTACAATCCTGGGCTAGAGCTTTTCACAGATCACATGCAAGTTGATATATCACAACTGAAAACTCAGAAGTCAAACAGGATGGATTCATTGTAATATTTTATAAATATTTTAAATAAGCAGATTTAGAGTTTATTAACTCTCATTAAACAAAAATTGTTTGAAATCTGTTGAGAAAAAAAAAAGAAATCTGTTGAGAGGGAAGGCACCATTTTTCTATCTCCTTAGTACTTAAAATGTTTAGAGATAAGCATGGTATTTAAATCTCCGGGATGTGTAAAATTGTATTCAACAGCATTTTTAGACAGGGCATTAAGAATACTTAAAGTGTTTGTCTACTGCATTAATTTTAATTATACTCCACTGGACTCACAACGCTTTGAAATGCTCTACAAAATGCCCCCAAGATCTTTTATTAATCATAATACAAGCACCAAACTCAAATGCGGTTTCTCTGTGTAGCAGCAGCTTGCCTGCGAGCGCCCTCTTCTGTCACAAAAGTATTCCACAAATTTCATTACGTGGGATTCACAGCAATTCTGGGTGGTACAACATGGGTTTTTAAGGGAAATGTCAACACACACAGTCATATTTAAATATGCTGTCCTCCACCTGAGGTTTGTCAGGCTGTTCTGGAGCAGAAAGGAGGGGATGAGGGGAAAGTTGGAACCCCAGATGTTAATGGTGATTTGCATTTCATCCCCCGGAAATCTCTGAGAAATGAACTTTAATCTTTTAAAAAATGGAGCAACTAACTAGTCTTATCTGTTTTCCTTTTCTTTATAGGCAGAACATGGTTTTAAAGGAGGAACAGTACCTGCAGCTTTTATGTAAGGTATTCTTTGTAACTCAACTGTTTGCTTTCTGATTAGCAATCCTCTCTTGCTTTAAAAATTAATATACAAATTCATACTTAGATGGCACTTTTAAGCAGGAACGTATTCATACAATTACAAGCAGAAAAATCTTTTGTTTCAATATGAACTGGGAAAATAAGCAGGGAATGAGGTGGAGCCCCATGAAATTGCCATCAAGAATGGTTAAATACTGGCCACTTAATATGGTTCCATCAAATACACCCAGCCCTGTGCCTTAGAAGCCTGGGTTAGAGCACTAAGAGGGTCTGAGAGAGACACAGCACAATCTAGTGGAATCAGGGTGTGTCTACACACAAATCGGGCAGGGTAGTCTAAGTGGAGCTGAGACAAAACAGGAAAGGATTGACGGGAATTTGAGGAATTTTGTTACAAATATAATCAGTTTATGCTATTTGATTCTTTTGTTGTTTCTGCAGAACTAGAGCCAAACTCGGTCTTATTCTAGTAACAGCTAAAGCACTGCTTAATGATCTGACCACTATGAAGCTTATTTCCGGATGCAGTTTTGAGATTTAACTTCTATAGCTAGATAAAAATTGAATTTCAACACACAGCATCTTTCTTACAAAAAGGACAGGTAGAGAGGTTGTTAAGTTGGTTTTAGCTGATACATCTTCCTATCTTTTATGGCCTCTCCCCAATACACACTTATCTGAAATATATTCTATACGATTGCATAAAAATCATTTCCTAGACTGAAAAAGTTGCATTAAGTGAACATCATTTCTATAATACTTTGTCAAAGTTTGAAAATTCCTTAGAATTCTCCTGTGGACAAAGTGTGCATGGTTGTCAGGAAAAATTGGGCAAGACTTTCAACAGCAGGTGCCCTATTAGCTCATTCATTCAGGTTACCAACACCTTTCGTTTTCTTTATTTCCCAACTCTGTAAACTCTAGAAAACTGATATAAATGCGCACAATCTTTGTCCAAACAAATGCAAACAAATTGTGTGGGGGTATTTGTAAATTGTGTCTATTTGTAAATTGATTTCAGAATCTTTATTGCCTATAAATGTCTCTGTTCTTTCAATCGTCCTTGAAACCAGCTGTAACATCTTACCAGTTCCCTCATTAGCTAATGAGTTAACTAAAACCTTGGGCACATACTTATATCATTTCTTTATGAGAGTAATGACTATATCCTCTTAAAAATCATCCTTTAACATCACAAATTGTAGATTTTTCCAGGATGTGCCAAGAATGCCATGTTGACTGGACTCCTTACCAATGAAGCAGTATACATTGGCCTGACAGAGTCAATTGTTTAAGATCCTTGAAATCAATATCTTACCTTCAAAAGAAAAAAAATAGTCCCAGACCTTGCAAAAAAAGATACGTCCATTGCACAGTAAGAACCTTTTGAAATACATCTTTAATTTTAAAAAATCAATATGCAATCTACAAAATACTTTGTTACATGACTATTAAAGCTCAATCTGTTTTCTATTTTTATTGATATGACATAAAAATCATATTTTGAGTAAGATACAATACTTAGTTATTATTAAGGAAGGCCTCCTAACTGAATTTATAAGAAAAAGGGCTGTATCACAACTACAGTTTCTGAATGAAGGAAACCAAAACCCTAAAACTGTCTAATATATAAATCAGGTAAAAAAAATCCATCCTTTATTTATGTGCTGGAAAGCATTTTTATACATTTCTAACGGATCAACTATTTTTATTCCCATAGAATAAGGAAATGTACTTAAATTTAGACCTGTACAATTTATCAGGTAACCATCAAGCCATGAATTTGTGTACACAGTTAATACAATGCTTTGACTAGTAAGGCAACTAGAGATCAGAACAATGAGAGCAGAATTAGTTTCACACTGGTCAACTCCTTGGAACTCCACCATTGTGTCCACCAGGCAACTGACCCTGAAACGGTCAAACCCATAAAGGGTTGATCTAAATTACTTAAATTGTTAGAAAGGAGTAGTTCCTCCTTCACTCACATCCTTCCTCCCTTCCCAACCTTAAAAGCAGAGGTTTTTGTGGTTGTTTCGAAGATTATCATTTGCTTTCTGGCAAAGGAAATTTCACTTCTTAATTTGGAAGTCTAAGTGAAGCCTACCTGATTTTTCACTTAGAGCACCATGGTCACATTTGACCTTCTGCCATTTCCGAGGTCAGAAGAATTGTATTAAAAAACCTCTCCTCCCTTCACAGAATGTTAATTTAATGCTAAGTAATGAATATTTAAGGATCCTAATAGATGTGCAAATTAACAATTATGCTGTAGCACCCCGCTGTTAATGCTATCAACCTTTGCATTGCTGCAGAAACTCAGTTTGGGCTTCAGTCAGCCTTTTGTTACTATATTTTCAACACTGAATCTTGAGATGCTCCTGAAGGCTGGATGGCTGGTCGTAAATGACCCAAGCAGTGAGGTACTCACCAAAACTGGACAACCTGTGAAACATGAGGGGTGATTAATTGAACCCTTTCCTGAAATTATTTGGAGGTGTAAATATTCATTAAGTTCACCTGAATCAGACTCTGAGCTCTTAATGGGCAGGATGCCATAAAACAGATTTAAAAGGAATGGCATAAGTTAACCCAGCTGACTTCCTTAGAACCATGGAGCAGCATCAGGTCTAGCCTGCCTCCATATTTGATCTCAGCATAACTGAAGTCACTCCAGAATGTACCACACCAGATGATGGGGAAAGATAGTGGAATTTTTTTTTCAGTCTCTCTCTCTCTCTCTCTCTCTCTCTCTCTCTCTCTCTCTCTCACACACACACACACACACACACACACACACACACACACACACACACACTTGCCCTCCTAAGCATCAACAGTGAATCTCAAACGTGACATTATGAGCAATGCATCAAGTGAAGTTAAAAAGAACAATACCAATTCATTTTGTTACCTTTTGCATCCTTTGTCTTTAAAGTAAAAATAATGAAAAGCGATAAAATCTGCTGATTGATACAGACCATCATAAATGTTGGTTTTAGTCTGTTTTTGAACAGATTAAAATGAGTGTAATACAATATTAAATAAAACATGGTATCAAGTCTGTGGGCTGACAAATAAATGTTGTTTGGAAGAACATTATTATATCATCAGCTTTGACTCAAAACAAATTTGGTAAATTGAGAAATATGCCTCCTAATCATATTTAAGATTCAATACAAATTGAAGGTGTATTATTACCCCAAGGAAGACTTTGTTTCTCCAGGCTAAAAAATACGTAGACTATGGAATTCATAAATTTTAAGTCTGACCTTTCACTGTAAATACTGAAAGAAAATTATAAACAGAATTATAACTACTAAAGCCATTGACTTTTTATTAGAAACCAAGCATTTACCTGACTTTGAAGAATAGAAACATCACCTCTTAAAAATACAGGTAAAATAATCTAGTGTCTTTCGTTTTCTTTATCTTTTAAAGAAAATATACCCTAAAGTAAGCAGAATTAGCATAAATAGCATGATAGCAGAACCAGCATAAAATAATCATAATAGGATTTAGACTTCTACTCAAGAGAGGCTTGTGTTAATTACAAATAATACTTTATCAAAAATACATTCTTAGAGTCTGAACTTTTGGGAGACAATATTCATGAACTTTAAAAATTCATCTCTAATATACATAAATATTTTAACTAGTGTCCAACACCATTCCATTCTGAAAGGAACCTCTCTAACCAAAAGGCGATTTGTCTTAGTGACTTGTACTAAAATATGTATATCAACAGAAATAGCTTCTTTGCAACACACATCAGAATACAAATACATTTTGAAAATGATAACACCATGGGGGAAAGACAGGTACCAAATATAGTCATTGATTACTCACCAATGTAGTAAGAAGACAGGAAGATAAATTACTCAAAATCACAGATACTTCCACATCTCCCTTTTAGCCTGTAATTTCAGCATCATCCCACACCTAGCCACATTCCAGAGATGAGCAAGAGGAAAGATTGAGTATTTCGGTTTATGTCTCCTTTGACTGCCTCACCCCCCGAAGAGGTGCTAACAGAGCACGAAGAGATGGGGACTGGAAGATGATAAATATGGCACCCAGGTGATCCAGAGTGCAAAACATTCAGCCACTGTGTAATTAATAATCCAAAACCCTTTAACCAAGCTGGCTGTCTGGTAACACATTGAGCAACAGCGACTGAGTGTTAATGGGAAGCAAAAACATCATACAAATGATAGACACATTTTATGTGAAACCTCTGGAGCACAACCATATCAAAAGCATAAAATATTGATTGTTTGGTTTCAGGTCTTCACTTCTCTACACATGACCACTGGACCTGTCCTAAGCCCTCTATTCAGAAGTCATTTCCACGACACAGAAGCAGATCTTTGTGTGGTTGCTGTGAATTACATATTTGAAAAGTGGGTCGTCATTTACTCTTGCTGCTCCTACTGAGTTACACAGTCACCAGCTTTATCTGGGTCTTCTCCATCGATTTTAATCCTCTTCTTTTCTATTTCGACCTGTATGCAAAAGCAAAACATGGCAGCATTAACCAACATAGCACTATCACCGCTCAGTCGCTCAGTCCTACTTCACACAGGACGCAAGGACTACAGCCACCTCATCTTTTGGACACAGACACAGCGCCTTCACCCTTTCATGCTGGCTCCTAGTGAGAGTGAGGCAGCCTGCTCTCCTTTTGGGCAACAGAGCCCCCCAAATCCTTCTCTCTAGCGTCAAATCTGGAAGAGGACTGAAACTCCTTTCCCATCCAGTCAGACATAGGGTTAATAAAATGTACACAGAATACACATATTGATAAGACATTCAGAGTCCTGGCCAGACATGTAATCAGTTACGCCTCCACATATCAACTATATAGCTTTTTGCCCACTTGAGATTTATAACCCACCCCAAGTCATCTAATTAAAATGAACTAGGTTACAAGCTAGTAAACCAGCTGGACAGAACCATCTCCCTACCCCTCATCCTTTTCATTTCATCTCAGATGTTACCTCCTCACAGAGGCCTTCCTGGACCACCTGAGATAAGGAAGCCCTCCATCATTCTCTGTCCTGTGCCCCTAGTTTATTACTCTCTTCTTAGACTCTGTCACTCTTTGACACTATTTATTTGTTTATGAATGATTTTTCTCTTCTCCCATTAGAAGGTATGCTTCACAAGGATGGGAACCTATCTCTTGTTCACTTTTGTGTCTCCAGCATTTAGGGCGGTACCTGGCACTTTAAAATTGCTCGATAGGGATCCCTGGGTGGCGCAGCGGTTTAGGGCCTGCCTTTGGCCCAGGGCGCGATCCTGGAGACCCAGGATCAAATCCCATGTCGGGCTCCCGGTGCATGGAGCCTGCTTCTCCCTCTGCCTGTGTCTCTGCCTCTCTCTCTCATTCTGTGTGACTATCATAAATAAATAAATTAAAAATTAAAAAAAATAAAATAAAATTGCTCGATAAGTAGTTGTGAGATGGAACGTATTTTTTTGAACCTGACTGTCACCAAATGTAGAGAAATTAGTAAATGCTATTAAAGTGGCAGAGACTTGGTTATTTCTCTAAAAACACCAGCAACCTGAAACAACCCATGCATAAGAAAATAGGCATAAAATGAATTCTCCACTGTGCTTGGCCCACATTGCAGTCACACATAATACTTATATACCAAGTGGGACAGGTCAAGCTCTCCAAGAAGCGGTCTCTGAGATGGAGACCAAGGAGCAGAAAGCGTACTGGGGAGTACTGTCTGGGTCGACACCTGTGGGGGAAAGAAGGTAACAGAAGAAGGCAGACAGGAAGAAGTTGGATGGCAGTGCAGTCACCATAAAGGCTTCAGCTGATCCCCAGGGAGAAATGGAGCTGGGAGGACTGCAGAGTCAATCCACGCTGAGGCAAGAGGGTCCTGATACACCTGCATCCACCAGGAAGGGGGTGTGATCTGGGGCAAGGCAGCTTACTTCAGCAGGGCAATTCCTAGCTGCTGAGAGAGTTAAGTCCTTTAGTCCCAAAGGGGCTGCGGCACACCACAACACTCACCCATCATTAATTTTATCAGTAGGACAAAAAAAAAAAAAAAAATTACTGGACCCAAACACATAGGTTTATAAACAGATGGTCCAGAATAAAGAAAAAATCTTCACTTATACTATTACTAAATGACTATAATATTACTATATTATAAAACTACCAGTTGATGTTAATGATGTCTTATATAATCACACCACTTCACAATGCTGTAGGAAATATGTGGCAGAGCTTATCTCTATATTTGCTAACTTAGAAGATGAGAAGGAAAAGCAAGTTTGGAAACAGGTGCAAGTGTATGTCACTCTTTAACTCATCTGGCATGAAAATACAGAAGACCTGACAGTGAGCATTTAAAATTGTTAAAATAGAGTAACCCAGCATTTCCCAAAGACTGCTCCACAGAATACTATTTCAGAAGGTATTGATAGGGTGCTACATGCACGTACCCCTAGAAACAAGACTGTATAATAAATGAGTTGGGGGAAATTGAGTTAAGTCTAACAAGTTTCTTTATTGCAGAATTTCTCAGAGCCTTTATTTAGATTAGCGTAGTGTACAGCATTCCTCAACTTATTTTTTCCTTGGATCATTATATTTTTTCCAGAGAATACATCTTGGGGAAATGCTATTCTAACACACTTTATTTCAAAGATGCTTCTGAAATGTGAATTTGTTTTTTAATGCCCTGTGTTTCTTTGAGAGTAGAATTAAGTGACACTGTGTGCTCAGGCTCCTGATGTTTTCTAGAAGTGAGAGAAACTTGGTTCACTGGTGACCATCAAGTTTCCATGACTGGGCTCTTTTCTAGATCAAATAAACACACTTACATATACACATACACGGTCATTTAAGAGGGCAAAATCAGGTCTTAGCTCCAGAAGCCTCAAGTTGAACCAAGGGGCTTTGGGACATACCTGAATGTTGTAGCAAGCTCGCTGATGAACATGTTTCTGTGGCTGGACATCACTCTCTACCCCCAGAGACCTGACCTCTGTCTTCGATGCACAGGTGTCAAGCATTCCGAACTGAACAGTTGCAAATGGATACCAATCAGAGGGAATTTCTTGGTCTGATCCAAGTTCTAGTTTGTAAGACAGGCAGTGGGGATGATCAGGACCTTGAAGAAAAAAAATCAAATGGTCAAAATATTTCAACGGCCATTGAACATTCCTCTGAAACATAAGCAGCACTCATCCGTCTCTTTAATAGAGAACTCCATTAGCACTGTGGCAGTTTAAGTTCTGTTTAAACAACATACCATCAAAATTCACAGTTTTGTACCAAGTAGGGGAAATCTGTGTTTAAGTACCAGCTTTAAAACAAGTATAAGGGCAGCCCCGGTGGCGCAGTGGTTTAGCGCTGCCTGCAGCCTGGGGTGTGATCCTGGAGACCCGGGATCGAGTCCCACATCGGGCTCCCTGCATGGAGCCTGCTTCTCCCTCTGCCTGTGTCTCTGCCTCTCTTCACTCTCTCTGAATGAATGAATAAATAAATCTTAAAAAAATAAAAAAATAAAACAAGTTCATTACTATATATATATTAACTCCTGAAGTGTTTTTAATTAACAGTATGTTGTTTCTTTAATTAAATATGACTAATATTTGTATTAAGTATCCTTATTTGGCTATAATGTACAATTGGATGTGTTTTAACAAACCCTTTCCCTTAAGTAGACTGAATAAGCTCTTACAATAATTGTAACCTTATTAATTTTCTTACCACTCTGTTTCTTGATAGATAATGCAAAGGTAAACTTCAGCCCAAATTGGGTCATATTATTAAAAATTCTAATTTTTTAAGTTAAACTTATTAAAAAATTTATTACATTTTAGAAACTCCTCTAGGCCAAGAATTCTTTCTTCAGTAGAACAGATTATTTGTTAACTGCTGTAATTCTTGCTCATCCCCTAAAAGCTTTGCCTGGAACAGATGTACAGTGTAGAGATGGGCATATTGCTTTCAATGTTTTAATCTAATATTTGTTTCCACTTAATTCAATTTGCCTTGTATTGAGCATCTACTCTATGCTAGGCCAGGCTCTGTGCCAGATCCAAGAATATTGGATATACACAAAGATTTTAAATGGGGTCATTTAACGTGTATGTGCGTGCACGTGTTACAATGGAGTAAAAAATGTTTCCAATGCAATCACTATAGTAAGGCTACAAAGTTCCAGGATCCTGTTGTGTTGTCCACAGCATCTACATATCCAACACAGCTATCTTTATTTAAATAAATGTATGAGATGACAGTTATTCGAAAAGCCAGATTAAATTACTTTACCACTGACATACCTTGAGAAAGAACATTTCCATCAGCATATAGCTTTAGGCACACAAAAACAAGAGTTTAAAGGATTTCACTTAATTCTTAAAAGATAAATTGCCTTTCACTCCTTACAACCTGTTCCTTGTAGACAGACTAATAGAATTCTAAGGCTGTAAAAGGGCTTGAAAAGTCATCAATCAATTAACCAACAGAAGCTCATTAGCCATCTCCACCACTTACACATAGGGCAGGACAACAGTGGCCTCTGAGGTGTTCTAAAGCTCCCCAAATCACTGCAGGCAAGTGATAACTTTATTCACACACACACCCCTAGAGGGGATTCCACAATCCATTACCCTTTCTAGTTTTCTGTCTGCAGCAAAGAGGCAGTAAATTTATTTAAACTTAATTCAGGCACTCTTAAATCCATGACACGGTGGCTGAGAACACAAACACAAGACCCAGATTGCCCAGAGCCCAAACCCAACTCTGCTGCTTAATAGCTGTGTGATCGTAAGCAAGTTCCTTGATCTGAGTCTCAGTTTCCTCATCTGAATATGAGAATGATGTGGGTGATGCTAACATGAACCTTCTAGGATCGTTGTGAGGACCCACAAACCAGTTGGCACACAGAGAGCTCTAGAGCCGTGGCATATGAGAGTGGCACAGAAGTGCTGGCTGTATAGGACTACTTTGCAAAGTGCTACTCGATGATAAATTCACTATTATGATTTAATGACTGTAATTTTGATAATTAAGAGACTGAATTCTGCACTTTTGGAGCTGAAAATGATATCGGGGACAGTGTAATTTGATATTCACATTTTAAAGGAAAAAATTCTTTTGGAAACAAGACTCAAGTTGAAGACATAGTAGTATTCCAAAAATGTTATTAACAAACCTTTTTCTATCCGCTTTTCTAAAAAAAAAAAAGAAAAGTGGCAAAAGATAAAGGAGAGCATTTTTCGCTTCAAGTTTTCCTACATATTTTTCCTGGCTTTTAGAAACTCTAAATACTCTACAATGTTTAATCACATACTCTCCCCTTTAGACTTTGATCTCTGTGCGAAGAGGTACCGTCAGGCACATTTAAGGCTCCAGGGACATTTGTCAATCACGTTACTTATCTCAGTAGTTTCCAGCAGGGGGCACTCTTGGGCTTTGGTAAGGGCTACCCTCTCCCAACTGTTTAGGACTGGAAAGAGGAGTCACAAACTCTACTTCAGTGGAGTTGGTATTTGGTTCTTCTTGAACCAACATATTTCACACCTCAAAGTGAATTGTTGAGAGTTGGAGGGAATAAATGTTAGGAGATGACACAAGTGGAAAGAGAGCCACCAATGTGCTGATGACAGCAATGGAAAACGTGAGCTTTATCTAAAAATTGGTAACATGGGAAGGTAGAGATAGATACATTTATTAATTGGCCCTCCACCACTCCACTACTCCCACTCCCCTTTCTAATTCTAGGCTGTGTCTGCACCTCCTGTGGCTAACCAGGGTTCTCATCTGTCCTTCTCCACCCTCCCCTACCCTACCCCTCAAAGCCTGTGGTCAGGAAAGTTTCCTGTTTCTCTGTGGTCATTCACACTTTAGTGCGAATAAGCTATCTGAGATACCTGCCCAAGGCCAACCTTTGCTGTTAAATGAAAGACTTCCCCACTTTGTTAAAGGAATATTAAGTTTTGGCATGCTGGCAAATGAGACATGGAATGGGCCAGTATCCCTTCCTACCTCCTCGAAATCACATGGTAGTGGAAAAGAAAAGTCAATACCGATCTCAAAAATCCACAGGAAAGGAGTGCCTGGGTTGCTTAGTCAGTTGAGCATCTGACTCAATCTCACCTCAGGGCTTGATCTCAGATCATGAGTTTTAAAAAATTAAAAAAAAAAAAAAACAGAGGAGGAAAGGTCTTTTTTTTTAAAAAAAAAAGATTTTACCTATTATTCATGAGAGAGAGAGAGAGAGAGAGAGAGGCAGAGACACAGGCAGAGGGAGAAGCAGGCTCCATGCAGGGAACCCGATGTGAGACTCCATCCCGGGTCTCCAGGATCATGCCCCGGGCTGAAGGCAGGTGCCAAACCACTGAGCCAGCCAGGGATCCCGTTTTTGTTGTTGTTGTTGTTGTTTTTTTAATGATGGGCACAGTAGACTAGCTTCATATAGTCTCTTTAAGTTTCAATTTTAAAATATTCTAATGATACTGGTTCTTCAGAAACTTGCTTGAAAAGGGTAATGTTTGTTTTACCTTTTTATTTTTTTAAGATTTTATTTATTTGAGAGAGATAGTGTGTGTGTGCAAGCGGGGGGAGACGCAGAGGGAGAGAGAGAGAATCTCCAGCACATTCCCTGCTGAGCACAGAGCCTGAAGAGGCTGATCTCACAACCCTTATATCATGACCTGAGCTGAAACCAAAAGTTGGACACCTAACTAACTGGGCCACCCAGGCTCCCTGAAAAAGAGTAATGTTTTAAAGACTTAAAAAAAAAAAAAAAAAATCTGTTCTCTTAATACCTAAGCGATTTAACAAGTGTATAGAAAAATAAAGATGCATCCCAAGAAACTGGTCCTCCATGTGTGGTCCATGAGCCAGCAGCACTGGCATCATGTGAGCCGCATGGGAAGCTGTTGGGGGGCCTCACCTACTGAATCAGTCTACATTTTAAAAGGTGATTCAAGTGCATACACAAGTTTAAGAAACATTACCTGAGAATACAGATTTCCTCTCTGCCCTGACCTTACTCTTTCTATGCTTCTCCACTAGAGGCAAATTGCCAGGCACCCAACTCACTTTGCATTATGCTCCCCACCCACAATGGTGAAGCCAAGGACAGGCCAGAGGATCCCAGGTGTCCAAGCCCAGCCTCTCCCTGCCCTCTAGACTTCATCTGACCCAGCCCTCTGCCTTTTGTCTTGGCCGCTTTTGGGCCACCAATCTGATCTGAACAAAGCCTCTTTGATCCCAAAGAATCTGTTCCGTGAATTTTCACCATATAATTGGCTGGAATGCTCGTAAAACACGGTTCTGTGCAGGCCTGGTGCTATGACCATCTTCCAAGAGAATTCCTGAAGGCCAGCCTCTCTGGAAATATCCCCTCTTGTAATTGTTCCTAGTGAGCTCAGCTGCTAGTAAATATGGGTGGGAGGCAATAATAGCTCTAGGAGACCTGGATACGCAGGGAAGGGAGAATCATAAGTTTCACAGCAGAGCTACTAGGCTGATAGTTCTCAACCCCCAGGTGTAGGAGAGCCTTTTAGAAGCACCAATGCGTGGGCCTCACCCCCACAGAGTCTGGTCGGGATGGAGCCTAAATAGGGATATGTTTTTAACCTCTAATAATTCTAAGGACTCCAACATGCTGCCGGGGCTGGAAAACAGATTTTAAAAGTAGCAAGGGATGCCTGAGTGGCTCAGCAGTTAAGCGTCTGCCTTTGGTTCAGGTGGTGATCCCAGTGTCCTGGGATCGAGTCCCACATCGGGCTCCCCACAGGGAATCTGCTTCTCTCCATCTGTGTCTCTGCCTCTCTCTGGGTCTCTCATGAATAAATAAATACTTTTTAAAAATTTTTAAATAAAAGTAGTGAAAGGATCCCGAGCTATCTCCGTTAATGGCACTACCTCCCACTTGTTCACCAAAGCCAGAGCCTCCAACCTCCGTGCACCCCTCCCTTCCTCCCAGGCTCACAGGTAATCCGTCCTTAAGGGCATCTCCTCTGAGTTCCCTCACCCATCCTTCACTTCTTACTGCCCCTGGCCTTGCTTCTCAGGACTCCCCTTCTACTAGCCTCCCCATGTCTATACTCATGAACCCCTTCTCTGCAATGTATGCCTAACTTCCTACAACAACTGTATAATGCTGTCGTAGTCGAGCCTGAAAGCACCCCGGATGCCCTGTTGACAGACTCCACACCCCAAGTCATGGCTCACAACATCCTTCATGCACTGGCTTATTCTCCTACTGCTCCCTGAGTCCCAGATCGTAACTAAGACCTCCCACCTACATGCCTGTTTCTGCTCTTCTTCCCTGGTAGGATCCTACTGATTGTTCCACACCAAGTTTATCCATCACCTCTTCAGCAAAGACTTCCTGAGGGCCCCCTGCGGTGTATCACCCTTTCTCTGGAATCCCTACTATGTATGTTTGTTCATGCCTAGAGTGCAGCACAATTCCACACGGTATTTGCATACTTGTTTCTAGATCTGCCTCCGCTGCTAGGCTGCTGCGGTTCTGCGGAGCGAGGAACATGTTTGCCTCTGTTTCCCAAGCACCAAGTGCAGAGCCCGCACCTAAGGGAAATTTACTGGTGCTTGTGAAACGAATGAGTGAGCCCTCTTCTCAATATGTTCTTGGTGATCGAATCAATTAATTATATACCGTTAGCTCTGGGAAAATCCAGTGTTATAAACAAGATCATTTTCACAAGAACATTTCCATGTTGTTCCCCTTCCAAAATCAAAAATGAACGATTTGCATGGATTCTCAGTTTGAAAAATAAGCATAGTTGCTCTGACTAGATCTAACCAGTGTCTCCTCTGAGGCACAGCAACTGGAATGGGCTCTTTGCAGGCCTGTCGCCCTGTGCCTTGGACCCCATCTGGACAAACCAGCAGGATGAGCCCCTCGTGCTCCTCTCTGAGGCATATGCAGCAGTCGGGTTATCACCCGGACAGCAGGGGACATCTATAAATTGAGGAGATTATAGTAGGTATCCCAGCCTGCCTTCCTCTCTTTCTCTTTGTGTTTAGCAAAATAAAAGGCAATAATTTGATTTCTACAACCCCCTCACGTAAAAGTAGCACAGATAACCTTGAAAATAGCATTTGGAACCCTGTACTCACAACCTCAAAACTTGTTCCCTAGGATGAAGATAACCTGAGAATAGTTTTTAACTTGCTTCTCCAACAAAGTTATAAAAGAAGGCAGGAAACAGTACCTCTGTGGATTGTATCACGTTACATATTCCCATCACGCTGGAGTTGACCAGGAGGCACTATTAGAAGCCATCTGTGTGACCATGCTACCCCATCGCCACCTTGTCCTGCCTTGAGCTTGAGCTGTTCTTCATTTTCCTTGGAACTAGAATCCTAACTAACATAAATCATGAGAACGTTGCAGCGCAGAATTTGGCATCAACCAAGAGGTGGGGGCAGTGTCAAGGAGGACTACTGTGCAGTGGCTTCCCATCTGCACGAGGCCCTGGGACTCCTCAGCTACCCAGCTGTCTCTCTCGCCTGCTCGAACCTATCCTTTGCCCAAATTATAGTCCAAAGGGCTGTTAAGTTAGTAAATTCCAAGTTGGACAGGATGGTTCTGCGCCCAAGGGCATGATCCATTCTACCCCTCAAGTCCAATACAGTCTAAGGTTTGCCCTTCCTTCCCAGAACATTCCAAAGCCTATAGAGCAGTGTTCCTCAACCCTGACACAATTAGGTTCATCTGGGGAGCTCTCAAAACATACGGGTGCTCAGGCCCCTCCCCCAGACATTCTGATTCAATTGCATGGAAGAGAGCCTGAACATTAAAATTATCTAACAGCTCTCAGGCTATCCTAACATACAGCCAAGTTTGAGAAACACTGTTATAAGCCCACCCCAGATAAAAGTGCTTCCTCCAGAGTCCACAGCCTGAAGGGTCCCCATTTGAAATTAAATTTCCCTGAAGGACTAAATCAGCTGCAAACTATTTAGAAGCAGGACTCAGATCTTATTCATCTTTAACCCCAGCACCTGATGTGGTACTTGGTTTACAGTCAGTGCTCAATAAAGGTTTGACTGAATGAGTGACTGCATCAACGCAGATCCCCCAAATCTGCCTCCATATCCCAGTGCTCTGCTAGAAATAACTGAACTAAAACAGGGAGCAGCCTTAATTTCAAAGTTTGCTTTTTTGCTCTATTATATACACCCACAACGAAGCTACTATTCTAAAATAAACGTGGTGCGAGGACTGTCTTTTCAAAGTTCTGAACTTCTAGATTCATCATTTGCTTTGTAAACATTAAAAACATTAACTGATTTTTTTAATGCTTGGATTGTGTCTACTTAATTCTGAAACAACTAGTCAAGATGGCCAAATTAATTCAGCTAAAGAAATCATTCTGGGGGGCACCTGGGTGACTCAGTCAGTTAAACATCTGCCTTTCGCTCAGGTCATGATCCCAGGGTCCTGGGATCGAGTTCTGCATTGGGCTCCACGCTCAGCCAGGAGTCTGCTTCTCCCTCTACCCCTTACCCCAGCTCGTGCTCTCTCTTTCTCATGCTTGCTCTCTCTCAATTGAATTGATTGATTGATTTAAAAAATTTTACAAAAGAAATCAATTTAGGTAAAAATGAAAGGCAGTCTTATTTCAGAGAGCAGGGAACAAAACCTAAAGAGAACACGGTAGTGGCTGAGAATACAAAAAAGTGCAGGTATATTCATGGATGAGAGATCTTTAAAGGTTAATTAGGGAATCTAAGCTCTGTAATATTTTTAATATTTGAGGTTGGTGGTTGATGTCAAAAAGTCCAACTAGAAATCTTCCCTCAGTGCCACCATCCACAACAAAATCTTAGCGGAGGGTATTTTTTAAATGATATTTTAAAAAAAATTTTTTTTTAAGTTAAACTTATCTGGTAGAAATAGGCACAGAGAACAAATTCAGCTGTTTGACTAAATGTTTCACCTCCCACCAGGCAATGTGAGTGTGGCCCCTGGGGACTGAAGTTATCATGTGTCTCAGCCGGGTTTCAACCCAAGGAGGGGGATGAAAACATTGAAGCTATTTCCCGAGAAAATCAACTTGGCATGTTGACTATTTACTTGAATTTTTATCAGGAAGCCGGTCAATCTTCCATACCACGGCCCGGTAGGCACTTTCATATTTTGCGGAGCCCACAGTGACCTGTATAACAGGTTCAGATTCAGGTTCGTGTAAACTCCCCAGACATGCCCGGCGGTTCATTTTGGCTTTCAGGGACTTCTGCCTCTGGAGGTTCATGGTCCAGAGGGCCTTGATCCACTGTGATGGGACAGGAAAGTGTATCATTATGTTGTCACAGGACCTCAAGGAACTGGCACAGGATGGTCTCTGAGTCAATGGGGTCATGTTGACAAAGGCCTGAAGCTCCACGTACGCCCCCTGGACAACCACGACAGACTTGAGGGTAAAGGGAAGATCCTCCCCACCGTACAAAGTCTTAAAACGCATCAGCTCAAACCGGCAGGCATCCAGCGGGACAAACTTAATGATTCTTGATTGCTCGAATTCTTGTGCTTTCACACACTTATGAAAATGATGGTCAAGAATATCAATCCCCTTCTGTTCTGGGTCTTTTTCAAAATAGCGTTCATTTCGCTTCTGCAGCTCAAGGTCATTCAAGGTTAAAAAGCATTCCGTGTTCCCATTCACAAAGCAGAGGCAACAGATTTGAGTTATGACAGCACTTTCAACCAATTTTCCTTCTTCTTTTGTGATTTTACCCCAAAAATTGTCCACAATTTCCAGGGAAATTTCTTGTTCCTCATAGATCTTTTTTGGTTTCGAAACAGCTGGCAGCTTCGTCAGCTCCTCCTCCACAGTAGTCAGGAAGTCGAGGAAATCATGGTACTCTGTGGACCCTAACTTCAGCATCTGGTCGATGTCTGGTTCATGAACGACTTCTGTCTTAGAGTGGTATTTCCTTTTTTCTGTGTAAGACACATGTTCAATCTTCACAGTATGGATTTTTCCTGCCACACTAAAGTTCTCAACTTTGGGTTCAGAAAGCCTGCAGTGCAAATCAAGCTGTAACTCCTTAAATGGTTTTTCTAAGCCCTTCTCATAATACATTTGCAAAATTCCACCAGGTAAGACTTTTAGAAAAATTGGTCCCCACTGACGGGAAGACATCATGTTCTTCTTCTCAGGAATCCTCAACATGAAAGACCATCCAGGTTTGGGCTGACTCCTGAAGAGTGTGTGGGGGACAAAGGAAGAGGCAGTGTCTTCAGCATACAGACATTGCATAGACAAGTTTCCACAGGAGTCTTGGTTCTCAGCTGATTGGAGATGTTCAAGTTTCTCACAGATGTAGTTGAGTGAACACTGATTTAAGCTTTTTTGATCGACAGGCGTGTCTTTGTCTCTTGATGCGTACATCTTTCTGCTTCCTGGAGGGTCAAAGGCAAACTGGGAAACACTGCCTTCATCTTTCCAAAATGGACTTGAAAAAGCACAGTCCTCCCGAAAATACTGAAACTGGGGAGTATCACTTTGAAACCCTAGGCTTTCGGCCTGGGGAGGGCTAACTTCATCTGGAAGACCCACTTTGGGAGCAGGATGTGTACATGTGTGCTCACTGGGTAAGGAAGTGTGGGATAAACAAGTTGATTTAGTAGGCAATAAGGAAGAGCCTCCTCCTGATGTTGTTAGTGGACTGTTTGAGGATGATTCTGGGATAGGATAAAGCATATGAGTCCCTGCTTTGGGGATGCCAGGAAAACCTGGGAAGTCCTTGGTAGGTGTAGAAAGAGGAGAGTTACTTGGAGGTCCTGGACTAAAGTAAAAGTCTATGATGGGAGAGGAGAGAGGAGTACTGTTGGCAGAGGAAGATCCACTGGGAAATTCCTTAGCACCAGAAAGGTTCAGCTTAAGTCCATTGGGCCTACAAATGCCTTGATTCTCCAGAGGTAAATTCTTTGACTTTTGAGAAGACTGAAAAGCAGGGTCATCATCAAATGTGACCCAGTTGCCTGGGTTTGTGGAACACATCTTTGGAATCAAATTGTGGTCTTGTCTATGAATCAGATATGCAGTGTCTGTGAAAGGAGAAAGAGAGAATACGAATATTAAATGAGGAGGGGGAGGAAAATCAAGTTACTTTAGTTCTGAGAAATATACTTAGATCTAAAAAACAACCAGGGGGTACCCTGGTTGGAGTTGGTAGAGCTTCTGACTCCTGATCTTGGGGTCATGAGTCCAAGCCCCATGTAAGGCATAGAGTTCACTTAAAAAGAAAACAAAGGTAAAATAAAATATTGTCACAAATAAAAGTTCAAAAATAAAAAAATAAAAATAAAAGCAACCAGATTTACAGATTAACTGAGTTCAAAGAAATGCTTAAGAATTCTAACATTTCTGATGATTAAATGGATTAACAACAACAAAAACCCAAGATCTAAAGATATGCTGTGAACTAGAGACTCATTTGAGATTTAAGGACACACAGGCTGAAAGTGAAAGGTTGTAAAAAGATATTCTCTGCAAACAGAAATGAGAGCAGGCAGAGATGGCCATACTATATCAGACAAAATAGACTTTATATAAAAAACTGTCACAAGAGACAAAGAGGCACATTATATAATGATGGGTCAGCTCACCAGGAAGATATAACAATTACAAATATATATAAAGCCAACATCAGAGCACCCAAATATATGAAACAAACATTAAAGGGGGGAGGGGCAAGATGGCGGAAGAGCAGGGTCCCCAAATCACCTGTCCCCACCAAATTACCTAGATAACCTTCAAATCATCCTGAAAATCTACGAATTCGGCCTGAGATGTAAAGAGAGACCAGCTGGAACGCTACAGTGAGAAGAGTCCGCGCTTCTATCCAGGTAGGAAGACGGGGAAAAAGAAATAAAGACACAAAAGGCCTCCGAGGGGGAGGGGCCCCGCGAGGAGCCGGGCTGAGGCCGGGGCGAGTGTCCCCAGGACAGGAGAGCCCCGTCCCGGAGGAGCAGGAGCTGCACCAACCTTCCCGGGCGGGCGGAAAGGGGCTCGCAGGGAGTTGGAGCAGGACCCAGGAGGGCGGGGATGCCCTCGGGCTCCCGGGGACACTAACAGACACCTGCGCCCCGGAGAGTGCTCCGAGCTCCCTAAGGGCTGCAGCGCGCACGGAGGGACCGACCGGAGCAGCTCGGAGGGGCTCGAGCGGGGGCTCCGCGGAGGGGGCTGCGGGGCGGGAGCGCGAATCCACCAGCGCAGGCCCCGGAGCACAGGGCGCCCGGACACAGCCCAGGATCCGGCCTCCCCCGGGACAGGCAGAGGCCGGGAGGGCCCAGGACAGCGAGGACGCTCCTGCCCCGAGCTGAGCAGATCAGCGGCCCCGCCCCGGAGCCTCCAGGCCCTGCGGACGGAGAACCGAGAGCCCCGAGCCCCGTAGTTCCTGCGGAGGCTGAATCCAGGCTTCCAGAGTTGCCATAGCAACTGCTGCTGTTCCTCCTGGGGCCCCACCGGGTAAACAACCCCCGCTGAGCCCTGCAGCAGGCAGGGGCAGAGCAGCTCCCCCAAGTGCTAACACCTGAGAATCAGCACAGCAGGCCCCTCCCCCAGAAGACCAGCTGGACGGACCAGTGATACTCCCCCGTGTTCCAATACAACTTGTTTTTGGCCACTCTGCACTGAGCAAAATGACTAGAAGGAAAACCTCACCTCAAAAGAAAGAATCAGAAACAGCCCTCTCTCCCACAGGGTTACAAAATCTGGATTACACTTCAATGTCAGAAAGCCAATTCAGAAGCACTATTCTACAGCTACTGGTGGCTCTAGAAAAAAGCATTAAGGCCTCACGAGACTTCATGACTGCAGAATTTAGATCCAATCAGGCAGAAATTAAAAATCAATTGAATGAGATGCAATCCAAACTAGAAGTCCTAACCACGAGGGTTAACGAGGTGGAAGAACGAGTGAGTGACATAGAAGACAAGTTAATGGCAAAGAGGGAAACTGAGGAAAAAAGAGACAATCAATTAAGGGACCATGAAGACAGATTAAGGCAAATAAATGACAGTCTAAGGAAGAAAAACCTACGTTTAATTGGGGTTCCCGAGGGCGCCGAAAGGGACAGAGGGCCAGAATATGTATTTGAACAAATCCTAGCTGAAAACTTTCCCAATCTGGGAAGGGAAACAGGCATTCAGATCCAGGAAATAGAGAGATCCCCCCCTAAAATCAATAAAAACCGTTCAACACCTCGACATCTAATAGTGAAGCTTGCAAATTCCAAAGATAAAGAGAAGATCCTTAAAGCAGCAAGAGACAAGAAGTCCCTGACTTTCATGGGGAGGAATATTAGGGTAACAGCAGACCTCTCCACAGAGACCTGGCAGGCCAGAAAGGGCTGGCAGGATATATTCAGGGTCCTAAATGAGAAGAACATGCAACCAAGAATACTCTATCCAGCAAGGCTCTCATTCAAAATGGAAGGAGAGATAAAGAGCTTCCAAGACAGGCAGGAACTGAAAGAATATGTGACCTCCAAACCAGCTCTGCAAGAAATTTTAAGGGGGACTCTTAAAACTCCCCTTTAAGAAGAAGGTCAGTGGAACAATCCACAAAAACAAGGACTAAATAGATATCATGATGACACTAAACTCATATCTGTCAATAGTAACTCTGAACGTGAATGGGCTTAATGACCCCATCAAAAGGCGCAGAGTTTCAGACTGGATAAAAAAACAGGACCCATCTATTTGCTGTCTACAAGAGACTCATTTTAGACAGAAGGACACCTACAACCTGAAAATAAAAGGTTGGAGAACCATTTACCATTCAAATGGTTCTCAAAATATACCCTAAAAACCATAGAACACTTCTGAAAGAAATTGAGGAAGACACAAAGAGATGGAAAAATATTCCATGCTCATGGATTGGCAGAATTAATATTGTGAAAATGTCAATGTTACCCAGGGCAATTTACACGTATAATGCAATTCCTATCAAAATACCATGGACTTTCTTCAGAGACTTAGAACAAATTATTTTAAGATTTGTGTGGAATCAGAAAAGACCCCAAACAGCCAGGGGAATTTTAAAAAAGAAAACCATATCTGGGGGCATCACAATGCCAGATTTCAGGTTGTACTACAAAGCTGTGGTCATCAAGACAGTGTGGTACTGGCACAAAAACAGACATATAGATCAATGGAACAGAACAGAGAACCCAGAAGTGGACCCTGAACTTTATGGTCAACTAATATACGATAAAGGAGGAAAGACGATCCACTGGAAGAAAGACAGTCTCTTCAATAAATGGTGCTGGGAAAATTGGACATCCACATGCAGAAGAATGAAACTGGACCACTCTCTTGCACCATACACAAAGATAAACTCAAAATAGATGAAAGATCTAAATGTGAGACAAGATTCCATCAAAATCCCAGAGAAGAACTCAGGCAACACCCTTTTTGAACTTGGCCACAGTAACCGGAGAAGGACAAACAGTGTATGTTCTCATTCATTTGGGGAATATGAATAATAGTGAAAGGGAATATAAGGGAAGGGAGAAGAAATGTGTGAGAAATATCAGAAAGGGAGACAGAACATAAAGACTTCTAACTCTGGGAAATGAACTAGGGGTGGTGGAGGGGGAGGAGGGCGGGGGGTGGGGGTGAATGGGTGACGGGCACTGAGGGGTACACTTGACGGGATGAGCACTGGGTGTTATTCTGTATGTTGGTAAATTGAACACCAATAAAAATTAATTTATAATAAAAAAAAAAACAAACATTAAAAAACTGAAGGGAGTAATAGGCAGCAACGCAATAATATAAGAGTTTCAATACCTCACTTTCAATAATGGATAGAATAACCAGATACAAGATCAATGAGGAAACAGAGTAATTGAACAACACGATAGACCAAATGGACATTCCACACAACACCTGCAGAATATATACATTCTTCACAAGCATACACAGAATATCCTCACAAATCACGTTACGTCACAAAACAAGTCTTAACAAATTTATCAAGACTGAACTCATACCATGTATCTTTTCTGACCACAACAGAATGAAACTGGAAATCAACAGGAGAAAGAAAACTGGAAAGTTCACAAATGTAGAAGTTGAATAACACACTCTTGAATTTGGGCAATAGGCCAAAGAAAACATCAAAAGGGAAATGAGAAAAATTCTGAGGTAATAAGCAAAGTGACAACACAACATACCAAACCTTATGGATGTAGCAAAAGCAGCAGAGTAGAATTTATAGTGGTGAACGCCTACGTTAAAAAAGAAGAAAGATATCAAATAAACAACCTAATTTTACAGCTCAAGGAGCTAGAAAAAGAAAAACAAACTAACCCCAAAGTTAGGAGAAGGAAAGAAAGACTAAACATTAGGGCATAAATAAATGAAATAGAGAATATAAAATGGGGGAAAAAAGGGAAACTGAGAACTGATTTTTCAAAAAAAATCAACAAAACTGACAAATTTTTAGCTAGACTGAGAAAAAAAGAGAAAATACTCAAAACCAGAAATAAAAGATGCATTTTATTATAAAATAATACACTTATGTCACAGAAATAAAACAATGATTATAAGGGACCAGAATGAACAATTCTATGGCAGCAAATTGGATAACCTAGAAGAAATGGACCAATTCCTAGAAACATATAATCTACCAGAACTGAATCATAAAGAAATAGGAAATCTGAACAGACCTATCTATAATTAGTAAGGAGATTGAACTGGTAGTCAAAACCTCCCAAAAAATAAAAGCTCAGGCCCAGATGGCTTCACTGAAGAATTCTACCAAACATTTAAAGAAAAATTAACACCAATCCTTCTCAAACTCTTCCAAAAAATTGAAGAGGAGGGAACATTTCCAAACTAATTTTATGAGTCCAGCATTACTCTGATACCAAAGCCAAAGACACTACAAGCAAAGAAAAATACTATATCTCTGATGAATACAAATGCAAAAATCCTCAATAAAATACTAATAAATCAACTTCAACAGCAGATTAAAAGGATGATACACCATTATCAAGCAGCATTTATCCCTGAGATGCAAGGACAGTTCACCAGATGATGAACAAAGCATAAATATCTCATGATCATTTCAATAGACATAGAAAAAGCACCTGACAAAACTCAACACCTTTTCATGATAAGAAACCAGCCAACAAACTAGGAAGAAGGAAATTATCTCAAAGTAATGACAAAGGCCATCTATGAAAAGCCCATAATTAACATCATACATACTCAAGGGTGAAAAACTAAAAGCCCCTCTAAGATCAGGAACAAGGCAAGGATCTTCACTCTTACCACTTCTATTCAACATAGTTCCAGGAGTCCTAACAAGAGCAACTGACAAGAAAAAGAAATAAAAGGCATCCCTAAATCAGAAAGGAAGAAATTACATTTTTGTCTATTTATAGATGATATGATCTATCTATAGAAAACCCTAAAAATTACACACACAGACACACACACCATTAGAAGTAATATAAAAACTCAGCAAAGTCACAGGATAAAAATCAACAAAAAAAAATCAATTGCATTTCTATACACAATTAACCTTCCAAAAAGTACATTAAGAAACAACCCCATGTACAACAGCATCAAAAAGGATAAAATATTTAGAAATAAACTTAACAAAAGGAACAAAAGACTTTTACACTGAAAACTACAAAGTAATACAGCTAGAAGAAATGAAAAAAGAAAAAAAAAGAAATGAAAAAAGACACAAATAAAAAGATGTCCCGCATTCATAGATTGGAAGACATAATATTGTTAAAATGTCCATATTACCCAAAGCAATCTACAGATTCAGTGCAATCCTTACCAAAGTCCTAATGACATTTTTTGAAGAAATAGAAAAAAACAACCCAAAAATTCATATGGAATCTCAAAGGTCTTTGAATAGCCAAAATAACCTTGAGAAAGAAATAAGGTGGAGACCTCACACTTTCTGGCTTTAAAACATATTACAAAGTACCAAAACAGTATGGTACCGGAATTAAGGCAGACATATAGACAAAAGGAAGAGAATATTAAGCCCAGAAATAAACCCACACACATGGATAAATGATCCTCAACAGGGATGCCAAGATTATACAATGGGAAAAGGATAATGTCTTCACAAGCTGTGCTGGGAAAAATGGATATCCATAGGGGGGAAAAAAAAGAACCTTATACCATACACAAAAATCAACTATAAATGGATTAAAGACTTAAACATAAGACCTGAAACTATAAAACTCTCACAAGAAAATATAGGGGAAAAGCTTGATGACATTGGTCTTGGCAATCAATGATTTCTTGGACAGGATACCAAAAGCACAAGCGACAAAAGCAAAAATAGACAAATTGGGACTTCATCGGATTCCAATTCACATGGAAAAGAAAACAATACAGTGTTGAGGCAACCTATAGGGTGGGAGAAAATATTTGCAAACCATACATCTGATAAGGGTTTAATATTCAAAATACATAAGGAACTCCTGCTAAATAGCAGAAAAGCAAACAAATAAACCAATTTAAAAATGGGCAACAGACTTGAATAGATGTTTCTCCAAAGAAGACATACAAATGGACAACAGGTGGATGAAATGATGTTCAACATCACTAATCACCAGGGAAGTACAAATCAAAACCACAATATCACCTTATACCTGTTAAGACGGTCATTACCAAAAAAAAAAAAAAAAAGTAAAAAAAAAAAAAAAACACAAAAAAGGATGTGGAGAAGTTAGAACCCTTGTGCACTGTTGGTAGGAATATAAAATGAAAGACAGTATCAAGGGAGCCCAGGCGGCTCAGTGGTTTAGCGCCTCCTTCAGCCCAGGGCATGATCCTGGAGACCCAGGATCGAATCCCACGTCAGGCTCCCTGCATGGAGCCTGCTTCCCCCTCTGCCTGTGTCTCTGCCCCTCTCTCTCTCTCCCTCTCTGTCGATCATGAATAAATAAATAAAATCTTTTAAAAAAAATCTTAAAAAAAAAGAAAGTATCAAGTTTCCTCAAAAAAATTTTTAAATAGAACTACCACATATATGATCTAGCAATCCCACTTCAGGAATTTTATCCAAAAAAAAAAAAAAATTGAAAACAGGATCTCAAAGAGATTATCTATACTCTTATCTTCCTTTCAGCGTTATTCACAATAGCCAAATGTGGAAACAACCCAAACGTCCATCGTCTGATGAATGAGTGAAGAAAATGTGGTATAGGTACATACCAGCCTTTAAAAAGGGAGGAAATTCTGGCACAGGCTACAACATGGATGCACCTTAAGAGCATTATGGTAAGTGAAATAAGCCAGGCACAAAAACACAAATATTATATGATTCTACTTACATGAGGTATCTACAGTAGTCAAATGCATAAAAGCAGAAAGGAGCATGTGGGGCTGGGGGGGAAGGCGTGTGGCTGTTCCGCAGGTATAGACTTTTAGTCAGACAAGATGAAAGAGTTCTAGAAATCTGTTGTAAAACAGTGCGCATATAGTTGGCAACATGTACTGTACACTTAAAAATTTGTTGAGGGTAAAAAAGATTGTTAAAAATTTGTTATTTTTTATCACAATTTTTAAAAACTGCAAAAATAATTTAAGTAAAAAAACTGCAAGACTAATCAATTCAGAAACTATTTGAATGACTGTGCAGTCAGACCTTGTTAGTGTTGTAGGAAATAGAGAAGATAAAAACCCAATTCATAATGAGTTTATACTTATAACTCATTGATTGCTCCTAAAATATATGAGGTTTATTGTTTAGAAGCATTTTTCAAATTCATGACTTAACTTATCAAAACAACCCTGGGAAGTATATATCATCATTTCTATTTCATAACCGAGATTGCTTAGGTTTAGAGTCACTGCCTACAAGCTGCCCAACTGGTAAGAGACAGAACTAGGATTTTTTTTTTATAACAGCTTTATTAAGATACAATTCACACACATAAAATTCATCTTTTTTAAAAAAAAATAACAATTCGGTGGTGTTTAGTACCATCAGAGTTGTACAGCCAGCACATTCCCAGAATGTTCTTATCACCCCAAAAATAAACCCTGTACCTATTAGCAGTCACTCTTCATTCCCCCCACAACCACCCCCAAGCCCCTGACAGCTACTCATCTACTTTTTTTTTTTTAATTTTCTGGGTCTGGACATTTAAAGTTCATCCACAATATAGCATATATCAGTACTCCATTTCATTTGGTGGCTGAAGAATATTTCATTGTGAAGCAGCCCACATTTCGTTTATCCATTCATCAGTCAAGGGACATCTGGTTTATTTCTATTTTTTGGCTACTATGAATACTAAGTTTTTATATAAGTTTTTGTGTGATCATTTTTCTCAAGTATATACCTAAGTTGGGAAAGAACCAGAATTTGAGCCTGATCTAATACAACATGAATTACTGAGATTAATCTAATGACATCAGAGGCAAAGAGCTGTAAGGGCCAGAGCACTGGCCTGGGGGCTGGGCACCCAGAATGCTGGGCGCTGCTCTGTCACTCACTAGCTGTGTGCAAAGCCCCTCCGGACATTCAGCCATCAGAGCAGAATCATCTCTGAGGTCATTTCCCACTCTAAAATAATTCTGTCGTGCCTGACATCCAATTGAATTTTTTTTCAAAAGCAGATATTATGTTACCACTGGGATTTTTTTTTAAGATTTTATTTATTTATTTGACAGACAGAAAGAATGAGCAGGGGGAGGGGCAAAGTGAGAGGAAGAAGCAGGGTCCCTGTTGAGCAGGGAGCCCTATGCTGGGCTTGATCCTAGGACCCTGGGATCATGACCTGAGCCAAGGGCAGACGCTTAACCAACTGAGCCACCCAGGCACCCCTGCCACTGGGATTTTTGACAAAACTTCCAAGTTGACACAGAGTAAAACTGCATGAGTGAAACTCCATGATATGAAAACTCAAAACCTGCTGGAATAAAGCCCATGAGAAAGGCGAATTTGTCTCCCTCCAGCCGGCCTTCACGTTTCCCCTGGTGGATAATGAGGGCTCAACCAATGCAATCATTCACGCTTGGAAAAGAGCCAACCTATAGAGAGCGAGCAAGCCCGGGGCTCTACTGGGGACAGGGCACGCTCAGTGCTGTCATTTGCTAAATCCGCACATTCCTGAGGACACAAAAACACACAGTGGAGCAGCAGGCCAGGCCAGCTGGCTCTCTCTGGAGGGCATTTTACTGTCACTGCCCTTGGGCTGGAGTTGCCACAAAGCACTTTCCCTTGGAAGCAGGCAGACCATGTTTCAATGGGACGTACCAGGAGGCTCAGAGGCAGGGAATCAGCAGCACTGTTTCTTGACCCATCCTATCCTATGGTCTTCGGAAGGACTCCAGCCAAAATAACTCTTCATATGGACTGAGACATCATGTAAATATTTACGTTAGCTGGGCTTATTAAACAAGAAAGAAAAAGAGAAGAAATAAAGCCCGCTTTAGAGGAATACTATTCTGATCTCTACAAAACATTTTGCCTCATCTGTTTTCCACCGGTAGCTTTGCAAAATTTCGAACAGTGATACTGGTTTCTTCAGAGTTTTTGCTTCTTACGAAAAGGAAAGTAATTTCCATAAACCAGATAAAGAAATCAATTTTATGACTTTTTAAGTGACCCTTGAACTTCAGGAAACACACCTCGCAAAAATATCTCTTACCTTAAATAAGCAGAACTCTTCCACGGGAGGCACTCAGCAACTGTGAGTTTAATACAACTAAACAGAATTCTGTATTGTGCCCAAGAGAAGCCCAAACCTTTGTCCCTGTTTAAAAGGCAGGACTCGGACGCTCCTAGAATAAGGGGCTAAGACTCTGGCTGGCCGTGGTCAAGGGCAGGTGTGTTTCCCACTCTTCTCCTCTGGCTCCTCTTCTGCCTCCCTCTTGCTGCCCTTCTTATCAACCCTTTTCACACACATTTCATTTCTCTCTGACCTATTTTGCCCCTTCCTTTCATACGACCTCAAAGTCTCTCCCCTACCCCACCCCCGTCAGTTTTCCCAAAATCAACAACTAGAATCGATTCCATCTAAGGCTTTCCCTTCCCTCCCCTCCCTCCTAACTCACCCCGTCCTTCAGCTGGGAAAGAAGGCCACATCCTTTCCAGAACCTCCATCTATCCAAGGCCTCGGGGTCTCAGGGAGGGATGCAAAAGCCCAGGGCTGAAGAAGTCAAGAATGTGCCTGCCTCTGTCATCTCCAACTTCACCCCACCTCCTTCAAGACATCGGAACCAAGAGTATTCAAGCAGCAGCACCTATTAACCTCAGGATTTCTTCTGCATTGCAAATGGGGCAGGATCTCAATGTGTCTGTGCCTCCCCGAGGGGCCCTAAGTCCTACCATTTTCAGAGCCCCGTCACAGGCAACATCTCATTCACATTAATGACAATCCAGAGTAGACCATGGCACCCAGGCATCTTCTCTGAGGTCCAGGATCCATTTAGAGCAGAGCTGGGAATCCAGGATTCCTGGCACAACATCCCCAGCTGCCTTCCTCTGGAGGAAAGTGCCTCGGGTTGGGTTCCATGGCTTTTTCCTCTGCTGTGGGTTGCATCCCACCCCCACATGCTCTAATGCTTGGGTCTGTTTACAGCCTATCTGGAGTATCCTGCTAACTGCTGGAAGACAATGCCAGATAAAATTCAGAGACAGGGCAAGACACCAAGGCTGAATGAGGCACAGGTAGAAAAGAAAAATGTACTAGGGTGAAAGCTGCTAGAAATCAACCTCTGAGGTTTGAAGGTTTCTAAGGGAGTGTTTGCCTCTCCTTAAACTATTAGACATCCTGTTGAGCTGCTCACTTTTGAAGTAGCATCAGAGTACGCTGAATTCAAGCACAAATTAAAAGTAAGTGCACGTGCCTCCTCACCCTGGGAATAACAAGGATACACGTAGACAGTGGTCTTCAACCTTATACCTCAATACATGTGACAGATGGTATTCAGGGCCTGGCACATTCTCTTGGATGTACCCAGAGTTTAACAGCCCCAAAAATATTGAGGGAAGCCCTGAAATAATTATCCCCACCTTTCTAAATGTTGGATCAGGAAACGTAGGCCACGGGCCATAGCAAACACGAGAAAGTCTGCTCTTACACACAATCCCTGGACCCCACCTTTTTCTTTCACTGAAGAAATCATCCTGGAATTTTTCTAAGAATATCATGGAATATATGCATTCATTCTAAATTGTTTTAAAAAGTAAACCTTTCAAAAATAGCAACACCTTAAATATTATTAGAACTATTGCAAATTACTTGCAACAAGCCTTATGAAAAAGCAGCACGAGTATGGGATAATTATCTCACCAAAAAGAATTGGGGATAAGGGGATCCCTGGGTGGCGCAGTGGTTTAGTGCCTGCCTTTGGCCCAGGGCGCGATCCTGGAGACCCGGGATCGAATCCCACGTCGGGCTCCCGGTGCATGGAGACTGCTTCTCCCTCTGCCTGTGTCTCTGCCTCTCTCTCTCTCTCTGTGTGTGTGACTATCATAAATAAATAAAAATCAAAAGAAAAAAAAGAATTGGGGATAAAAATTATCAAGTTGTTGCAGGAAAAAACTCATATATTTTTTGAGAGTCAGAGTATAAAACTTTTCCAGAAAGACTCTGTCTCACTTGTTAGGGTACTTTCCACATTGCCCTCAAATGTCTGACATCACCACGCAGTTCAGTACATTTTGGACTAAATACTTTTAAATAGTCTTTTTCAGTTTCCCATAAAGGAAATCTCTATACTGCCCTCCTCAGTTCAAAGAATCACCCCATTTCAGAGTTAGGCAGGAATTGGAGGTATTCTGCTCAATTAACCACACCAACAAACATTTATGAAATACTTGCCATGTGTTCTTCGTACGCTAAGGGCCGTGTGTGCATTTAATCCTCACAACCCCATTAGGTAATAATATTTTGGAGAAGAGGAAAATGAGGCTCTGAGAGGTGACACTACTTGCCTAACATCACCCAGCCAGAAAGAGGCAGGTCTGATCCCATACCATCCACCACCCCAGAAGTCCCAAGAGATCGGATTACTTGCTGGTGTTGGGGTCCTAATTTTCATTTCTGAACACTTCCCATCTCTCTACTTTTCACTGAAGGAGAGTTCCTGGAGGCAGGAGCTCTCTAAGCCTGAAAGATGCTATTCCTACCTGAAAAGAGCCTACTTCTCCACTGAGCCCACCACACCTCCCTGCTGCCTGGATACCAGGCTGTGGGAAAGACAAACTCTGAGACAGTTTTCTCCGTGATTGCTCAAGAACAACAGCTCAGTAAAAATTTGGGTCAATTCTGAGACCGGCTTTCATAACTCAGCCTGTCCTCGCTTCTGTCCCTTTTCAACTGCATCCCCACCCTTAGCGATGAACAATTTTTCAGACTTGCTGCCCAACAAATTCCCTCAGATGCCACCCCCTCTTCCAGTACTAGGGCCATCTTGGTAGACTGTTGAATTCTCCAAACTTCATGCAACTCCCCGACTTGTCCTTCCATGCCACCCCCACCCCCACTCTACTCTCGAGGGTCTCCTCCTGCTGTTCTTTGCAGATTTCCTTTGCTTTTCTTCAGAAACCAGTCAAATAAAGTGTAAAAACGAAGCTCTACCTTTTCCTGCAGATTATCAAAATCAAATTAGATGCATTTGGTTGGCGAATCAGCATTCCTGTTCCATCTGCAGCTGAAGACCGTCCCCACCTGAGGAGAACACCACCCTCTCAGATGGTCCCTAGGACCTGGCTTCTTTGTAGCTGCCAGATGCAGGGGGAGGACGGACGGTGAAGGGGTGTTCAGCTCAGGGAAGCATCACAGGCACCTAGCAGTAACCTCCTGCTATTTGCTCCGCCCGACTGTCACTGCAGGCTGGCTCCGACTCGAGCCTCATGAACACATCTGGACCCTCAGCAACACCCAAGCCTTATGCAAAGGGCTGGGTTTAGTCCTTTTATGTCTGTGCCTTTTTTGCTCCACAACAATGCTGCATAATCTAGAGAAAGAATGTCTTCATGCCAGTATCTGTGTAGTTTCATTGGCTGTCCCCCAAAGACGGAATTCTCGGACTCTCCCAGGACTGGACTCCCCAACTGCAACACTGGGGCCAGACCGGGGCTCTATGTGCAAAGCCTCCCTGTGGTTCTTGTTTGCTTGGGGGTCTGCACTCTAGTTCCCCTCCTTTGCTATTCCAGGATGTACGTCCCAGAAACAAAGCCAAAGTCAGGGACAGCCCTGTGTGCAGAAGGCATCCATTCAAGGTTTGCTATGCGAGGGTTTAAAATATCCTTCCTATAGAACTTCTCCCTTTAAAGGGGCAACTAACCTTTTGAAACAGAAAGGAACCCTAAGACAACACAAAACTCTATGTGAAGTGAAAACCCTTACAGCTTGCACCCTCACCTGAGGTCACAGATGTGCCCGCTGCGTTGAGTGCCGGCACTATTACCACAGATGTTCCGCAGCCAGTCCTATTTAATCACAAACATGTGTGGTATTTAGTTCAGCTATGTGACAGGAAATGCCATTTGTAAAATACTAAACCACAGCACAACCTATCCATGCCTTCCAATATTATCTGTGTCGGTTCCAGCTCAGCTCCCCAACCCTGCGCCACCCCCATGGATTTAACCTCCACTTCTCCAGGATGAATTTGGGTCCTGGCTATTTTTTTGACCTTCTTGTAAGTCAGTCATCTGCTCGTTTCCTAAATTTAGAGCGTTAGTATAAACAGATACCAACCCAAACTGACTTGTCCCAGGAGATGGTCTTTATACAAACAAAGAAAAGATCCGGGGCTGGGTGGGCCATTCCAATTTCAGAACGTCACTCTTCTCACCATGGCACTGCTAGCAAGTTCCTGTCCGTGTCACAGATATGATAGAAATATGCTGAGCAGAGGTCTCTGAGCCTGTTTCTTCATCTGCAAAATGGTGATACTTGCCTCATAGATAAATGTTCTTAAGGATTTTATTTACTTATTCATGAGAGACACACAGAGAGAGGCAGAGACACAGGCAGAGGGAGAAGCGGGCTCCCTGTGGGGAGTCTGATGCAGGACTCGATCCCAGGACCCCGAGATCATGACCTGAGCCAAAGGCAGACGCTCAACCACTGAGCCCCCCAGATGCCCCAGCTCATAGATAAATTGCCACATAATGGGTACTCGGTGTATACCCTCTCTTTCCCTCCTTTGTATTCCCTTGTCTCCCAATCCTGGCTTTCCTTTCTCTCGTCAGGAAGAGAGGTAATTGCTCAGACTCTGCAGTTTGCTTTAGCATCAGGTCAACTTGCTACAAATCTGTTTCTAAAACTGGGTGTCCGTTCTGTCTGCCACATGACCGTGCCTCTATCTACCCT